AAAATGGAGAATATTATATTTTATTTAGATTAATTTCTGATATTTTATAATTATCAAATCATGATTTATAAACAATATTTAACTTATCAAAACAATAATATAAGTATGAGTATGCATAAGAATCAATATACTTTTTTAATATTATTGAAAAGTTAAAACATATTGCTTTCCATAAAAAATACTTCTTATTAGAAGTTACTTTATAATTTTTTATTTACTATAAAAACTGATTATTTTAGGCAGTTTTTAAAGAGATTTGATTCATTAAAAATTTCGTATTTATATAAAAAACAATCAATTAGGTTGAAATTTTGATTGGAGGTATGTTTTCGTTTAAATCTTTAATACTAATGGGGTCATGATGCAATCTTTTTTTGAGGGAAAACTATTTTTACACTCTCTGGCATTAAATTAAAAAAATGTAGTTTAGTTATTGAAACCAACCAAATGCTTTTAATATAAAATTAATTGTACTCATTTTAATCATTGCAATTTTAAAAGGCAATTCTTTTTCAACTAATTTAAATCGATAAATTACTTTTTCCCTTTCTGATAAATCACAGCATTTATCATTATCATTTTTTAGCTAAGGCCTTATTATAGGGTTTTCTCTAAGTATTAGCCTGAATATTATTTATACTATTTTATGTCTGCCTATTCAAATTTATGGTAATATAATGAAATTTAGATATTTATATTGATCAAAAATTATTTGCTATTTAAATAATCATTTTAATAGAATTAGGAAATGTAGATTAGATGTACCTAAGCTGATCATCGAAATCAATAAATAATTGGATTTTGCATAGATAGCACATGCCCAAATTAGAGGCCTTATTGTCACTATTGCTTGCCTCAACATGGTCAACATCTTGACAAATTAACATATTTTGAACTTTTTCATGAATGGATTTAGAAAAGAATCATTAATGCTTAAAATGTATAAAAGAATGTTTAAGAGTGTAAATTATCTCTTGATTATCTTCTAAATTAGTTGATTCCTTATTTGAACTTTAATATATAATAATTCTAAGAAATAGGAATTTCAAAGATAGATAACATGATAAAGGGCTTATGTTAATTGGAAGGTTGTGAGGAAATATTATTTAAACAACTTAAATAATTTATCGAATAAATCAAATAGATTATTGATTAAATATTAAAAAACATAAAGAATTAAGCAAATTAAAAGGTAAAGTGTAATTAGTAATTTCAAAAATTTGACTTAAAGCAATCAATATTAGAATAGCCATAAAACGAAAGTACCTTTAAAGCAAATTCAAACCAATTTACCTTTGAGCTTATGAAATAAAACTCAATTAAGGTTGATAATTACTGTAATGCTTTTGCATTTAATAAAGATTAATCTATTGTTTTAGCTGGATATAGTAAGGATATTAAAGTATTTGAAAATCAATAAGGAAAATTGAATCAAGTTTAATTGTTGAGTAAGCATACATATGATGTGCTTACTTTAAATTTTATGAAAAAGACAAATAATTTTGTATCTGGAAGTAGAGACCAATCAATTATAATATGGTAGGTGATTGGAAATAATTAATGGAATTGTTAATAAATATTAAATGGACATTCTTATGCTATATTTTGTTTATTGTTAAATAATACTGATGATTTAATAATATCAGGTAGTGTAGATAAAAAAATCAAATTTTGGATGAAATAGAATTAATGGATATGTTAATAAACCATAAGTCATCATACTGATTGTATATATTCATTAAGTTTAAATGAATAATAAAATAAATTGATATCTTGTTCTTTGGATTCATAAATATTAATAATAGAATAGTCTAAGTTGGATAAATAGTGGATTGTAACATAAAAGATAAAAGTTGATTAATATGGATGTAGATTATGTTTTATTAATGATAACTTATTTACATTCTAACCTTTTTGTAAAGATTAAATGTATATATATGAGATGGATACTAATAATAAATAGTATAATAAGATTAAGGAAATTGAATTAAAGTGTGATTCATGTGATTGTGATTGTTTATTTCCATAATAATACATAAAGTCAAAATGCCTACTTGTGAATAAGAATGGCAACAATTTGAATTTAATGAGAAAGTAACAAAATGGTGACTTTATTATTTAATAATCTATTGAATTTGGTAGTCATGCTCTTTATGGATAATTAAGTGATGATGGAGAGTATTTGATCACTTGGGATAAGGGATCAAAGGAAATCTAAATAAGAAAGTGTAAGGATTAATGAATATTATAATCTAAAAATTATGAAATATCTTAGAATATTTAAATTATATGTTATATTCAATATCTTTATATAATTATAAAAGTGTTGTATTTACTTAAATTTAATCAATTATTGGGGATTTTAGTTATTTACAAGGTATTGTGGAGTGATATTAATAAAAGATTTAATTATAAAGTTTTTTTAATATTTTTAGATTTGATTGCTAAATTTATTTTCTTAAATACGAAAATTTATCACAGTAATTTTTGAAATGATATTATATCGAATGAAATTCTGCAGATGAATACAAATATCTGTGATTCTGATTGCATAATTTTAGATCATGATTCTTATATATTGATTGAAATTTAGGAACTAAAATTATTGTTATGATTATAAATTGAGTTACGTCTTTGTAGAAATGAACAATTTTAGGGAATATTAATTTAGATTAGAGGTTAGAATAGAATGATTAATTTACATACTTTTAGTGGAAAGCAATAAATTTATCAAAAAATTAACAATTTTTATAGATGTAAAAATATTGCATTGTAAATTTAAATAATATTATACAAAGCTAAAATTAAGAAGTATCATTTAATATAAAAATATCATAGTTTTTGAAAGCAGAATATGTGAGAAACTGATAAAAATTATTAAAATTGACAAAAAGGTACGAAATGAAATATTACGATGAAAAAATTTTTTAAAAGGAAACGCAATAATATTTTTGTCGTAAGTCAGCTCTACTTCATTTCTTTTAGAGATGAGGAATAAAAAATTACATTTTATGGTGAAGCTATTGATATTTATTTAATATCAGTTTATTACTTATGAATTTATTTGAGGAATTGAGAAGATGATCAAACAACTTTATATTCTAAAGGCAATTAAGTTATACTTAAGAAATATATGAGGATGTTCAGGTTAAATTCCAAATTTTACGATCAAGAAAATACTCAACCAATAATATGGTTTAGACAATAAATTATGTTGAAATTAAAATGAGTAAACAAGTTCTTAATTGAAACTTTTACCAAGAAACTACTAAAGTAATAAAAGAGCACACTTATGCTATTAAATAAAAGACATCAACAAAATTAAATGGATAATTAATATTTAATTTATCATCTACATCGACTAAAGTTAGAAGCCATTTAATTGGCCCCTCTATTTTCTGATAACTAAAATATAAGAATTTCTAACAGAATAGAGAACACTAATAGAGAAATTAAAAGAATCAGATTAAAGGAACATCTGGATATAAATAGAAACTTAATAGAAATAAAATAGAAAACGTTTTAAATAAAATAGTAAACAATGCTGGATTTAGATAAATGTAATTTTATTTATATACTCTAGTATTTTTTCTATTATACAATGATGTTGTCAAAATTAAAACAATTAGAATTATGAATTGAAGATAAAGGAAATTAACCTTTGAGGCAATCATATTATTGTAAGAAAGAAAGGAGAACTTCTAACTGTAACTTAAATACTTAAGTGTATATCTGAATTGATCATTTAATAAAGTAGAAAAATAAAGAATCTGAAACTCATCAAATAAATGATCCCACTTAGTGTGATTTCCTAGTTGAATGGAATGTATAACTATATTTCAAATCAAAATAGATATTTAAGCAACATCAACAAATATAGAGCTGTTTTAAAAGGGTAATCTTTTCAAAATGTACTGCCAATTAAGCCCTTCTATCCAAAGGAAAAACTAAAATCAATCCAGAAAATTCTTAAATGACTTATCTTATTTAACATTTATTTATTTTAAAATAGAAATTAGTTTAGGATAATTAAGATATAACTTTACTAATTTTTTCACGACGATGTAATTACTGAAATTATTTTAGGTAGAAAAAGTTCAACGTCAAAAACAATCTAAAAACTTGATATATTTTTATATTCCTTCTGTTTTTGTTGATTAATTTTTATAAAATGTTTTGGTAACCATTTTGAGCCTGATTACATAAAACAATGATATTACATCAAATTGTCATTTATTTATGAAACTTTGAAAGATATATAATTAAACATCTAATAAGGATCTAACTTATATTATATAGAATCAAGATAAATAAATTGCGAGGAAGAATTAAAAAACATTCCCTAATTATTAGCTATTTTGTCCTAATATTTTTATTATAGAATTTTAGCTCTCTAATTTAATCAAAGAAATAGTGAAGATTAAGTTTCCTTCAAATTAGAGAAGAATGCATTTTAATAAGTTATATGACTAATGTAAATGTAGTAATTTTGTGGAGTTCTCTATTTTCATTTATGCCAATATATGGATTCTCACAATTATATTGAAATGGAATTGAATAGTTTCAGATTCAAAGAATGCTAAATATTTCCTTCAAATAAAGAAATTTAGAAAAATTTTGATAAATAAGATTAATGAGATCTAATAATATTATCTGAATTATATCTCATTTAAATATTGCATCAATTTTAATAGGATTTTGAAGAGTAAAGTATTTTAATTACCTTGTCAATATGTCAAAATATTTAGGGGTATGAAGGCCAGTGAGAGAAGTTTTGAAGCATAATTCTAAAGAAATGTCTTAATGATGGTTCTATATTTAATCAGCAAAAATTAATTTTGATTATTGTTTAATTTAAAATGATAATTTGAGTAATTGTGAATGATGTTACTGCATTAATAAAACTTTCAGAGTAAAACAAGAAATGATTTAATAATTAGAAGGACTAGGAACTGTCTATGTTAATATATTCTGATGATGTTCAGTCTCTTACAATTTTTGAATGAATAATAAATATATTTATCTTATTTTAATTGAATTTAATTCGACACTAATTATGTTAGTAATTAGTTTCATCAATTAAATAATTAAGATATTTTGGCTTGAATATCTAAAATGCAACTTAACCAGTTTTGTTACTATATAAAGCTTCTAAAATGAAATGAAATTGGATAGTTATTATGAATAATCTGGCACCAGGGGGTGTATATTTTCTGGATACCTCCAGATTCAACCTATATGGTCTTGCATCCTCGATTGTCTTTTTTAACTACCTCAAAACTACTTAATATTTGAAATAGACCTTGTTCTATTATATTCATATTTTTAGAAATTTAGAATCAGTAGCATAGATGTTATCTTTAAAAAGACTTTTTAAAAGGTCCGAAATATAACTCATTTACTTTACTTTTGAAAATGATTGTCTCAATAGATTAAAAAGCTTCAAGTTGATTAAAATCAATTTAATTATACAATCATATTTTGGATAAATAAATTTCGTATTCTTTGCAGAAGCATATTTTTTCAATTTAAAAGCTAAGTACTAATGAAATGAGGAATTAATTCATTTATTTTAATTTGTTATAAAATCAATATATCTGCTAGTGAAAGAGTGTTAGTTTAATTTCATCTATGTAATTTATGGTATCATTATTATTTTTGAATCAATGATTCTCAAATTTATTTATCAAAAATATTTTGGAATTTAAATAAAACTGTCAAAAAGAAATAATGTAATTTTTGGATAAAACTAATTTCGCTAACTATCTTAAAAAAAAGATTAAATTTGATGAATTGAAGATGGAAAAATAAAAAGTAATTAAATCATTCAATACTCGGAGATGCCAATACATTTTCAATTCTCCTAGCATTAATAACTATAAACCAAAATCATGAGAAAAAATAATAAAATATGAATATTTCAAGAGTAATTAATTATTATCAGGATAAGTATTATTGGCAGGCAAATCATTTACAAAGATTTAATTTGAATCAAATTACTAATAATGAAGTCAAGATAATGCGTATTTACATTCTAAAACATTAATGTTACATGCTGATAATTTTTTGTTATTGAGGCCAACAAGCGAATCTAGAATATTCCAGATCTCTTGAATTTGATGTTTCAAAGAACTCTAAATAATTTAGATGTTGCTGCATTGTTTCAAATTTTATCCTCATGGTATACTGAGAATAAATCTTAAAGACCTATTACACTCTGAGCCGTATTTGAAATATGAAAATCGACTAATCCTCATTTTCACTGATAAGGAATTATAACCTTTTTGGTTATTTAGGTGTTAATTTTCCTGGATTAATATAAAAATATCATATAATCAAATTTCCTAAATTATCATAAACTTTGATATACATATTTTTTTGTTTGAATATAGCAAGGATTCCTTAATAGTTTTCAAGTAATTAAAAATTTATAGGGTTAAGAAGCTAAACCATAATAAAACTAACATGAATATATGAAAAATCTTAAAATAAAGTCCTTATATTTTAGAATCTAAATAACGGTGGGTTTAATATAAAAAATGATAAATTATAATAATTGAAATGATACTTTAATATGAATCAAATGACTTATTAATAATTTTTCTATATAAAATTCAGGATAGACAACCTTTGGACCAAGAATTAGTGTTTAAATTTTATTTTAACTTAATAGTTAAATCAAATCTTGTAATTTAAGACTTTAGAAAAAGAGGCTTAAGGAAAATATTTCCAAAAATCGTTTCTACATAGCATTGTTCTATCATCATAGTTAATATTATTTTTCTATTTACACATCATTTGCATAGGTCACAAATCCTATTACATCAAAAGAAACTAAATTCAAAACACCAACCTATAATCCAATTAGGGGAAACATTTGTTAACGTATTGGTCTCTTTAGTTTAAAATCCAAAAGGCCCAATAAACAAGTATTTAGGTTATGAGCCTCACCTATCTGAAGTTAAATCACTCATTCCAACAATTTAGAAATCTGTATATCTACGATCAGAAACATTGTAAATTAAACAATATTCATTTATTATTGATATCAGATGCAATATTATGAGAAGCAAAATTAAATGTGGGATTAAAATTAAAGATGATGATTTTGCATTCGAATAAGTGTAAACAACAAATAAGTATGATAATAATATTACGTATTCACCTTTTACTTTAATTAAATTTCTTTTCATTTATAATCGATTTTTATTAATGATATATAGAAGGTTTGAATTTGAAGTTTTAACATTGTAAACATAAAAAGATTAAAGTATATAGTTTATATTCAGATAATTAATTATGGTAATGCTAAAATTTTAGATAGTATTTTTCTACAAGCTTGGAATGAAATAATTATATTATCATAATAACAATAATTAAGATATTAAAATTATAAAACGTATCAACAATAGTTTAGCTCTATTTGGTTTATTTTAAATGATAAATCAAATTTCTATTATCAATTCTAAAATATCGATATAAATAATACTTAAAAGAAGTTAGTTAAATTAAAAAAATGAAAATTTGGAAAATTTAGACTATATTAACAAAGAATTTGATAATCTCAAATAAATAGAATAACCAGAATTTTTAATCGAAAAACAGCTGAAAAATAATAAAATCAAATTCTTTATTTATTTCATTCTTATTCTTAATTACACTATTGAAAATAATCAATTAAAAAATCATTCCGCTAACATTCTTATCCATCCTAAAAGATGGTTAGTGTATTACCAAATTAGGTAGAGTTATTAGCAAATGATATATCTAAAATTCTAAATGATTTTTCAACTCGCTTTATTGAAGACTCATCTAGCAAATATTTCTTTCATGACACATGATTATGATTTTTTTCTTAGCAAGTTTAATCGATATCAATAATTGCACAAATATAAGTGCATTCACCATCAGAATCAACTTTAGATTGATTGCAAGCTATCAGACTTAATTTTAATTTTATACCATTCACACCTATTTATTACCATTAATTTTAATTTAGAAAATTTTGATTAAGGAATATCTTATTAAGGCACTTCACATCCTTTTGCCAATATAAATAGTCTTTTTAATTTTTGAAATTTAAAATCACTATCCATTTTTTTGTTTTTTCATAATCAAAAATTGACCAAAGAATCCACCAGTTTATTTTTATTCCAACATATAATAATGAAATTTTCATGGGATCCAAATAAGTTTAAAAAGGGTTGATTAGGGTTAAATTCTATTGCATCTCATACTAGTGAATCAAAATATGAAATAAATTAATTTACTTAATTTTCTAACCCAGAAATTGATAATAATTGTAATTGTGAACAATTTGATTAATAACATTAATAGAAAGGAATTCAAATTGACGAGCAAATTTGAAATTAAACTAACTTTGGATAGAAAATAATTTATGAAGAAGAAATAATTAATAATTAATATAATATTTTAAAAGTAGGATTGATTCTTAAAATCAGTAAAGTAAACTATCTGATGTTATTTTGAATTAAGTAAACTATTAAATTATTATCTAATCATCAATAAATTGAGTTGTCAATTAATAGAGGAACTAAACTAACCTTTAAATTTCAAAAATACATTTCTATTTAATAATATATTATTACATTGAAAAATTCGATCTTAATCACCATATTAATCTCTTCTACCTTTCAAACCTTCTCTAATTTTATATTAATCTTTCTTCATTTTCACCCATATGCCAACTATAATACAATTTTCATATTCAAATTTAAAGTGCTTAAAATCATTATCTATGACAACCCACTTTAGTTTTTACTTTAATTTCTTAACCCTTTTAATTTTTATTTATTCTTGCAATCATCATCTGAGCTCTTTTATTAACAAAACTACTACAAAAATTTCTTCCGAAGTTTATGCCAATTAAACATGAACCAACATCCAAGTTGAGATTTTTTTTATGCTTTTAACTCATTTCAATTACTGTTAATATATGATTTCTAAATAACCATGTTAATTCTATTAACAATTTTTAATAATTTTTAAGTACTAAATTTATAATAAATATATTTATTACACACTTTAGTATTCATAATAAATTAAATAAGTGATTTCTATATTTTTTAATAGAATTTAAGTCTTTATATTCACTTAATCAATTCTTTAAATAACAATAATTATATGAATAAAGGAATGTCTTACCCTATGAAAATTAAATACGATACATTATCATTATTGAATCTATCAAAAGTTAGATATAAAAATCCAGTAAGATTATTATATAAATTAGGCTTTAACTATTTATTGTTAGCATTACAAATTTTGCTTTGAAATGCAAGAAGCCTTGTAGGAAATTGAAAAAAAAAAATATTATTAATGTCCATATTGTAGTTCATAAGCAAAGTGCCAAACTGATTTAGTTTAAGATTGGAGAGTTAAAGCTTATTAAGAATTTAATGAATTGGTTGAAGATGTAACTATAATTAAAGGAATTATGGTTAATAAATACACAGGAAATAAAACTAGATATTAGAATTTTTTCATGATAGATGAATGTTCTAATTAATTATTAAAAATGTTCGAGAGTGCTTCTCAGGATAATTCAATAAATTTCTTAATATAAAAAGATTTGGAAAAATAGAACTTAAATTAATAAGGGAAAATAAATTTTTGGAATTTTTGTTTGTTAGACAGAGTGAAAATAAATATCCCAGTAAGAATATTTGGATGCAAACATTATGAATGTTATGAATTAATTAGTTTATTACTCTATTGGGAGTAAAATAGATAAAAAAAAGAATACTTTGAATGCAATCATGCAGGATGTTCAAGTAGATTAAGAATTACTAATAATGCTAAAATTCAAACATCAAGATAAATTATTTAAACATAAAACTAAGACTCTAAGTATATAGAAGAAAAAGAGAGAATACTTGATTTATAAACATTATTTTCAGGCATCTGCATAGATTTGGATTTATTAAATGCAATAAATAAAAGTAATCCCAGTTCATTCAAATTTTATTATAATAAATAAACTAAAAAGATAGAAGAAGATATTAATTAGGTGAATGACTAATTAAATGATCCATTCATTTTTAAATTCTATCAACAGAATAAGGATTTATAAAATAAAGTTTCATTCTAAGTCTTCCAAAAACTAATATTTTAATAAGCAATGCCAATAAGTCAAGGAGATCTCTTATAAGAAGACAAGAAATTAGGCAAATTAGTAGCTTTGAATAAATACAGAAATTATAAAGTAAAAATGCTAGATTAATACACACAACTTATAATTGAATATCCTGTTCGATGTAAATTTTGTAAAGATCTAACAGTTTGTATGGATATGAGGAGTTATATTGCAGATTTTATTTATTAAAAAACAATGAATCCATTTAAATATTATACTTGTCCATTATGTAAAACTTAATAAACAGGTTAAATGTTTAAGGTGTTAATTTAGAATTACATATATTTAGATTAAAATATGCTTTCATATATGTTTAAAGACATGTCTTATACTAAAGGAACAAATATTTTTGAATATAAGGGTGAATAATATATGCTTTAAGAATTTATGGATAGATAAAAGATCACAAGAGAAACTTATATAGCAAGCTTAACAGAAAGATAGGTTTTATTTAAGCAACTGTTTTGTGGAGTTAAATAAGATTTGAGAATTAAATAACCTTTAATCATCTAAACCTGTCCTCAAAAAAATATTGTTGATTTTAAATCATTTTATGAAAAATTAAAGGAGATAAATTTTGATTTGGAAAATGAAGAACTTATATTATGTAAATGCAGTTCATGCTATTCAAAACCGATTAAGTCTTTTATTGGAAATATCTATTTTCATGAAGCATTTCATGAAGCTCTCAATAAATTTTATTTACATAAAGAATCAGAATAAGATATAGAGTTCACGTACAAATTTACTGATAATGAAATGGATAGTATGGTTGTCCGAAAAACTATACCTACTAAAAATCCTAAAATTACACTAGTACAAAATAATGATGCAATAAGAGATACTTCCAATTTAAGAAATCTTTATGGGGATGAAGGGTTTTTGGATTTAATGAATGATGAGGAATATTAAAAGTTCTTTCTTAAAAGAGATATTGAAAGTTACTATTATAAAGCTATTAGGATGACATAGAATATAGGTGAAATAATAATCTAATACTAATAGGAGGGTATTCATGCAAATGTTAAAGAATTTGTGGAAAATTTTAATCGAAATGCCAATCAAGATTTAAAAAAATTTAAATTCAATTTATCCAGCATTTAAATTCTATTAAGAGATGATGTATTAAATTTTGGCTAAAGAACATTCAGTTATTAGAAAAAATGAGTACTTATTTAAAAATTAATGAAATAAATATATTTTAGTTTTTTTATCGGGCTTATCAATTAAAGGAATACTTCCTCTCATATCCACTACATTATTATGTTATTATATATATTCTAAGCATTTTAATATAGATTACTAAAGTATTTTTATAACAATATTAATACATATTAAAAATGAATAAATTCAGATTCTATGTAAAAATCATAAATCTGTGGAATGTTCACATTAGAAGGAAAGCATGACTATGAATAAATATTTTATTCATTGAATCTATAACTTCTTTATTTTAATCATTTATTATTAACAACGTTATCATCGTATGATCCACTACCCTTTGTCATTACTATTAATACTATTTTTTAACATTATATGTAACAGTTTTATTTTCTGTCATCCCTAAAGTTTATCTCCTATCAACAAAATTTGTTAACATTTTTATTCTCC